CCCCGTTTACATCAGAAGCCCTCTTCATATCAGAAACCTTCCCTTCACACCAGGAGCCCCCATTTCACATCAGATTTCCCCCCTCACATCAAAAGCCTGCTGTATGAACATTTTGAGGCATCCCTGAGGAAGCAAGAAGGAATGCTAGGACACGCTGGTTGCAAAAGGCTGTGCTAGAGATAAAGTTATACCCTTCTCTCAGTTCTTTCTTTTTAAGTCTTATATTATGTTATTGTTATATATTGCATTATAATATTAGTTTATTGCTGGACAGTGTTTCAGTCTTGAATTATAGAAACATTCAGCACAGGAGCATTGCTCTGATACCTGGGGCACTGGCCCTGGGTGTCTAGACAAAAGCCCTGAGTATCAGGCCTGGAGCTGCTATCTCCTGGGAGGGTCATTGTGCCATCTGCTTGTGTCTACTCTGGTAGCAAATGGGGAGAGGGAACAAGGAGAGGGAAGAAGAAAATATAGTCAGAATAGAAAAGGGTACTAGCACTGTTTAATGTGGCACTCATCAGTTTGCCAGCCTGCCCTGGATCTATTAGGGCCTCAGCAATTCTCTTAGGTTTAGCCTCTTATTCTAGGGACTGGAATGTTACCAATCAGATGTTTAGCTGACTAGAGAAAGTCAGCACTGGATTTGGATTAGTTTCTCTATGCAACTTATATTATGCTTTTATACAGCCCTGAGGGTATTTTTTTGTTCAATCTGATTGTATTTGTGTTAGATGTACATTTATAGAAAATTATCCATAATCAGAGGATGAGGAAAACATGGGGGCCTTGAATTGTAATAACAAGGTCACATATCATCACGTATCAGAATGAATCTTGTTCTCGAAGAACAGTATTGGGCCATATGTAATGGTTAATGGGTTTGTAGACTTTAGTGGCATGGTAGGATGGGCAGTAGTATTTGGGATTATGGTGTATCCCATAGAGAATCAATGGGGGTAGAAGGACGGGTTGTAAGGAAATGTTATTAGATAGGGCTGTATACAAGGGGATAGGTTAAAGAGCTAAGAGATGAGAGAAAAACACAAAGGTAGTTTTTTTGCACAACCAATGAAAATACAAGTATGATTTCTAAATATTAAAAATTGAAGAAAGCGTAAAATTATAGATTACCAGTATGAAATGTACTTGTGCCAGCTTCCCTCCTGTTCACAAGCTCACTTTGAAATACATTTCCCAGGCCCTATAAGCTCAAGTAAATAATCTACTTTGACCATGTTTAAAAATAACTTTGTTTCTCACCAAGTCTGTGGAGTCATTTGTGAATGACTATATCGTGTTTGCACAACTTTTATACAAGATATCAAATAAGTATATATAAACAATACATACATACATACACACATACACTGTTTGATCAATTTAAAAGAGTGATGAGGATAAGTTGAGTGGATGTGGAGGATGACAGCTCTTTCCATTCCACTTTGCAATCTTTAATGAACCACCTTCTGCCTAATTGTTGTAATGCCATTATCTCGGCATCATTTATATTATGTGCCCTATTTTCTTCAGATATGAGCACTTACCTTGTACAGTATCAAACACACACACAAAGGCATCTCTTCCACTACAGTGGGATTTGTTGAAGGAGAAAGGGACCACATAGTTAACATGGTTGGTGAGGGGTAAAATGCAGGACCTTTTGTGAAATAATGGTGTGCTTTGAGCTGGTCTCAGCCATCTGATGAGGACAGTTTTTGGTTGGATCTGGTGACACATACAGGCAGAAGCAGACATCACTGGCCAACTGTTCTCTGGCAGAGAGGCTAAAATTACCAGACAGGTTTGAAAGACCTTGTCCTGGTAATTTTAGGTAGGTAATCTGGTGCAAGTGGTTCTGCTTTTTGTTCGATAGATATAAACATGAGTGCCTTTGCAAGCTAGTTGTTCATGTTTATTCCTGTATTTCAACAGAAAGATCTCAATTTGAGGTCTATGAATGTTATGCAATATTTTACTGGACTGACATCACAGCTGCAGATATATATTTTTTTATTGTAATATGGTATTAAAGCTATTGGTGGCATTTGTTGTTGTTCTTCTGTAAAATTGATACATATATCTCACTGTCTTCAATATCACTAGGTTAATGTTGGGGTTCATGGGAGTCACGGCCTTCCTCTCAATGTGGATAAGCAATACTGCAACCACAGCCATGATGGTTCCCATTGTGCAGGCAGTCCTCGGTCAACTCAATAACACTGAACAGGAGCCTTCCATTTTGGAATCAGATGGGCAAGCCAACCCAGCAATGCAACTGGAGGAAAAGAATGCCATACCTATGATAGAAATGCCAAGTAAGAACTATATTTTTTCTATATATTAACACTGGCTTAAGAAAGATTGTTCATTTCTTTCTGGCGAGAATGTTGCAAGAAGAGCATTACAATTTACATGATCTTAAATCGGATCTCCAGGCAGGTATTAAGAAACAGCAATGAATGCAGTTATGTATTTATTAAAAACGCATTAATGTATTTTAACTACAACTAGTATAAATACCTGAATGTGATTTGATTTCTGATTTTTGTAATCCACTGCACAGTAGCACTCAGACTAGGATAGGGAGGGCCAATCAGAAACATGCTGACAAGGAGCATGGTGTCAGGAGGAGAGAGCAGAGAAATGAGGGTACCTCGCAATACACAATTGGTTTGTAGGAGCGCTACTACCCTGGGAATGCAAGTGTCTAATAATATGTAAAAGGCACTGGACTCACACTTGGAATGTCCCCTGGCATCTGGTTGGCAGTTCACTGGGATGGAACTTGACTCGATGGATGATTGGCTCCAGTGGTGGATGTTGGCAGGTCTGGACGGAGTGTGTAGTGGTAAAGCAGTCCGCGTACCCGGCTGGGAGAGAGTGAGAGTCGGAGAGAGGGGAGCTGCGAACGGCTATGAGACGCCGGGCGCCGTGTAATCACAGACTCTGTCAGGCTGCTGTCACAGGACACAAAAGTCTTGCGCCAGGAACCAAAAGTGATGGAGAGCTTTACATAGGATGAAGGCTCTCAGTAGATAGACGGCTACGCGTTTCGAGGGAATCCCTCTTTTTCAAGCCTCGGGATTGCATCAGTCTGTTGCTGCTCCTTCACTTTCCAGTGAGTAGACTGGGAGTAGGGAGGTGACCTAACTGTGTTGCTTAATAGTAGCAGAGAAAAATCAGGTTACCATGCTGGCTGTGCTGTGTAACTCAGAACCAGAAGGATCAAAATTAGAGGTGCCCCACAAATGAATTTTCTGACCGAAACTGAAAATAAAAAAAAGTCAGGCCAAAACCGAATTTTTTTTTTAACCTTTTAAATATTTTATTTTTATTTATTTATCATTATTTTTTATTAAATATTTTTATTTTCTAACTTTACTGTAGGGGGCTCTGAGGAAATATCAGGGCTCTAAACAGACCCCTGATATTTCCCTTTTAAAATAGAAAAAGAGATTGAGGACACAGAGTCCATACTCTCTTTTTCTGCAGCCCCTGTTATGAATGAACAGGTATCCTCTATACTGAGTGCTCCTGTTCATTCATAAACTGTGGAGATTGTATGTTTACCATGTCCACAATCATGAATGAACAGGAAGTGATGTCGAGCATTTCCTGATCATTCAAAATTGGGGACACAGTAAACATACTATGTCCTCAATTATTTACAAGCAGTCAGCAATCAGCTGATCACTGACTGCTTGTAACCGCTCTCCATCCTGACTCGCTGTCACAGAAGGCTGAGCCAGTGGTGTGGAAGGAAAGCTCGGCCTACTGTGACAGCGCTGACAGCTATCTCTACCCCTACAACACTCTTCATCCTGAGCCCCTAGTGGGGCTTTGTGGGAGGAGACCCTATCCTCCTATGACACGCTGCTCACAGTGCTCTCCTCCGCGCCCAGCTCATCCTCCTGACATTTTCTCTCCTCCCCACAGGACGCTGCTCTGTGTCAGAGGGGACACAGTGCAATGCCCAGCGGGGAGGAGAGAAATCACGGATGCACAGCAATTTCGGCTGACATTCATTTAGCTGATTTAAACTTAAAGTGACAGTAAACTCAGGAGTTAACTCTAAAACCAATTCAAGTACCTTAACTATTAGCAAAAATGTATCTTATTTGTGTATCACTGTAGATCCTCAAATCATCTCTGAAATGGTGCAGACATGTTGTTTGGTATATCTATGTAGTTTGTCTTGTAATACAAGAAGGAGTTTTTATAAGGATAATTCCACCAAAAAGGACTTTTTGTGAGTTCTAGCAGTATGCCATTGGACTGATTTGCCCATCTACTTTACTTATGTCTCTGACAGTCTGTCTTCAGGATCTCCACTCCAGGAGATCCAGGCTTGGATGCCCTAAGGCAGGGGTAGGCAACATTGGCTCACCTGCTGTGCTGAAACTACAAATCCCATAAGGCATTGCAAGCCACAGGCATTACTCCCAGAGGCAGAAGCATGATGGGATTTGTAGTTTCAGCTCAGCTGGAGAGCCAAGGTTGCCTACTCCTGCCCTAAGGGAACCATTATTGTTCCACATTATTAAACTCCAGCCAAACAGCTACAGTATATACACCAGTGAACTACATAGGTTTACCTGCAAAAGGGTTTGCATTTCGATTAGGGATGCACCGCAATTTCGGCTGCAGAAAAATATCGGCCGAAAATGACACCTTGGGCAAAATGCCATAAGTACCATCTTTCGGCCGAAATTGCAGTGCATCCGTGATTTCTCTCCTCCTCACTGGGCGCTGCTCTGTGTGCCATCTAATATAGAGCAGCGTCCTGCGGGGAGGAGAGCAACTGCCAGGAGGCCGGGTGGGGCGCGGAGGACAGCGTTGTGAGCGGTGTGTCACAGGTGGTCAAGCTCTACTCCCGCACAGCCCCGCTTGCCCCCCTGTGTTATCAGGATGGAGTATGGTGGAGGAGATAGCTGTGAGCGGCAAAATGTATCCAATCAGCCACACGAAACCGAGGTCCATAAAAATCCAACTTTATTGTTGTAAATTCCATGCAAAGTCCAAAATACCAGGTATACACCACCAGCGCCTCTCACATAGAGGTGAACCAATGGTGATTAAGAAAAGTATTTGGTTGCTGGTTGGGTTTAGCACAGAATGAAATCCCAACTTAATTTTGTAATTACGATATTGTCATTCAAAGAAGCCAAATGGATTGGGTCTCAAACTGCGTGATTCATATGTAATCACTCTTAAAAATGTTTGAAAAGTCACAGATTAACCAGAACTACAAATTCCCACAAATAAAGAGTGCTAGTGTTTTTCTGGTTCCCACTGCTCTGTAGAATTCATAAAGTAAAAAATATTTTCTTTAGTTTTCTATTGCAATAAGCATGGGTTGTGTTGTCTTAAAATTACTAATTGACGTTCTCCAATTAAACATTCACCTAAACTTTCACTTACAAGTCAGCGTAATCCGTTTGCAGTGATGGACTTTTGATCTTTTGAACTATTGCTTGGCAGTGATTTATCATACACATATGCACTATCGGGGTCAAATATTGTATACCTTTGTGTCAATAAATTACAGCCATTGGTTACATAGAAAAAAATGAAGGAGGACATTTTCATTCTTTATTTGGTTCCTAAATGCTGTTGGACTAGTTGTGACCATTATCATTAAACATCAATTTACAAAGTCAGTCCACCCAGAATTGATATGTAGGACGTATGCTGTAGGATAAAATACTTAAACACAAAGCCAAAAATGTAATATATAGCAGCAAAAAAACGTGTTTAGTTTCAGATCAATTCATATTTTTATTTCTTTTATTTTTCGGATTTCGGATCCAAAATTTGATTTGGTTCGTATTTTGGACCGGTCTGAATTGTCGTTTTGGAATGAAGTCACAGGGCCGTGCCTGTAATGCAACCCCCAACAGCCAAAGTTTGGATGGATCCGAATTTTCGTTAAAGGAACATTTGGATTCGTTCTCATTCGGACTCAAATTTGGAAGTTCAGATGCAGTTCAGATGAAGTTCAGTTCTAATGAAATCCATTCGGAACAAAACTAAATTTACATGTCTAGTGGCTGCATTCGTTTTATTTTGAGCATGTACAGAAAATACATGGAGAGGAATTTATCAAAACTGGAGCAGAGAAAATCTGGAGCAGTTGCATAGGGCAACCAATCAGCTTCTCTCTTCAGTTTGTTCAGTTAAGATTTGAAAATGAGAGAGAGAAGCTGATTGGTTGCTATGTACAGCTGCTCCAGATTTTGTCTGCTCCAGTTTTGATAAATTCCCCTCAAGGTGTTCTTGTCAGATATGCTGTGTCCTTGTTACTTCCTATGAACTGAACAGAAAGCAAACCAATCATATTTTTCTTATGTAAACTACTATTACCATGATGCCCTATGTAATGGAGATGAACAAGGCAGGCAATTTTGAAGTCCAGCCTGAGTCACAACCATGGATCCCCCCATAGAAACATTGGAGGAGTGAGTCTAGCCACCCAGGGACAGGAAGTGTGTTATTTGCAGGATCGCCAGGTAAAAATAAAGGGAAAAAAGCCTGAAAAAAAAGAAAACGAATGCAGCCATCACATCTAAGGACTGGTAAGCTGCAATATATTACATGTAGTTTAGATATGCTATCAAGGACAACTGTACTGAGAGAACAACAGAGGCTGCCTTCATCTTAAAATGCTACTTACCTTGCTGTATCACTTGCCTGGAACAAATATGCAGCAACCAAAGTGAGAGCTAAGTCTGGACTCCTTGTTTGCATATGCGTTAGGTCAGTGCTTCAAAAAGTGTGTTCAGGACATTCGATCAGCATGGAAGTCAGGCAACTAGCTTCTTTTCAGAGGAGAGGTTGTCAATGACTTTCTACAGTATATGTTCCTTCAGTATAGATTTATGTTAAAGCCGAACTCTGGGCAAAAATGTTCTTAACCATTGCAGTGGGGGCTACCCCTGCACTGCATGAGTTAAGTGCTCATTTTTGTCATGGTGGTAAAAAAAGTTATACTCATTCGAACCCCGAATCGAGGGGCTGCTACTCTGGTCCCTGAAGACTGTCTACTCCTTTGCTGCAGCAGTGGTATGTCACTCAGCACCCTAATATCCTATACACTGTGTATAGAACGTGATGACTCAAGGATCCTTAGACCACTGCAGTGGAGGGGTAGAGAATCTCCAGGGACCGGTCTAAGAGCAAGACAGCTCTTATGGTTTGGATGAGTATAACTTTTGTATTTTAGCACCAAGAAAAAAGGAGTCCTTAATCCTTGCAGTGAAGGGGTAGCCCCACTGCAAGGGTTAAGTACATTTTTGCACAAAGTTCTGCTTTAAAGCTCAACTCTGGGTAAACACCTGTGGGAGCTGTTTTAGCTGCCAAAGGATTTGTCTCTCTCCAGTCCTGAGATGTACACAATACATCTCTGTCACACATCTCAACTCTGCCTAGCAAGTTTTTTCTCTGCTGTAGTCCAGTGACATTTACAGATCTTGTTCATCTTAGGCCTCGTTCACACCAGACACAGTGCATTCTGGTCCGATTCTGGCAAGAACGCACTGCATCGCCTTGCGGCCGGCTCACTATGTTGTGGGGCAAGAGGGGGTGTGGCGGTCCATCTCTTTGTCACTCCACTCTCTTGTCTCATAAGCATTTCCTTGCATTGTAGCAAACCTGAGAGGTTCCCTGTGCTGCCATCCCCTAGTCCAGACATCCCAACCTGTCATCCCCTAGTCCAGAAATCCCAACCTGCAAAAAATTATTTCAGAGAGGTGCCCTTTCCCCCCCTCCACCGCACCCAGCAAATGGGGGGGGGGGGGGGGGGAGACGGGGGGGCACCCGCAC